TCTCTCTCTCTCTCTCTCTCTCTCTCTCTCTCTCTGCTGCTTACTACTCAGAAATCTTTATGAGAACCAAGATGCAGAAGCTTTGAGCTTTTGGACAGTTTTTAAAATTAACGTAGCTTGGGGATTAAATACATATTTCCAATACAGATCACCTGTTTCACCAAGATTACTACTGATGAAAGTTATCCCTGTCCCATTGTTCTTTTCTAATGAGGAAGAAAGTTAAATTGTTTAGCCACCTCCCTACACTTGACACATATTTTTTCTTCATCCCCACAACATACCTACACATACTTCCCACCCACACGCCCAGGGGTGAGACCTGCATACGCTCAGGTCATATCTGGAACCTCGTTATTAGTGCTTCATAGAAAACTACAGCTCTATTTCAGCAGTGCCATCATTTCTTAAAACAGTTCCTGAAAGTTTCAGCTTCCGACTACCTTTTGGACAGTTTCCCTCCATCTTCATCAGAGGGAGGCTTTATGGTGAACTGAGAAATCTTATTTGGCAACCACAAAGACGGATGTGTGTGCATGCTCGCACACATGCTGGGCTGTTGAGTCTAAAGTGCTAGAGGCTCCCCTAGTACAACCCTTGGTTTGAATTTATCGTGTGGTGGTAAATCAGAGTGATTCTGAGGGTAGCTTCTTACCATATTTACAAAAATTTACCATGTTCACCAAATCTGGAGTCTCACATTTTACCCCAGAAGATTTCCCCCTGCTCTCTGTATTCATTTCTAGTATTTTCCCCCAATGTTTTGATGTGAGATTGGAAAATAAATGACTGGCTGTAATGTTGACACACATTAGGTTCTTACGTGGCTCATTTTTTATCAGGTTAGGAGGAATACCTGTGGGAGTAGTTGCCGTAGAAACCCGAACAGTGGAACTAAGTATCCCAGCTGATCCTGCAAACCTGGATTCTGAAGCCAAGGTAGGTCACTCTGAGTACTGTGTGTACCTGTGCTTGGAGCTGTTTCCCTTCTGCAGAACCTGTGGATATGTTGGGAGCACTGCAAACCACCAATTTTAGAGGGAAGGGCAGTCAGCAGCCTTGAATGATTTCAAACCATCTTGTGCTCACTTTTAAGGTGATGCTAAATATACTGCAAGGTAAAATATGCCTGGAAAATTAAACAGGTCTTTACAGTTGTCTTGCTGATGCTGGAAAACAGTCTACCTTTGTTGGAGATGTGGTCTTAGAAAGGCAACTGAGACAATGCTGAGGTCTCCTTGGTCCCAGATTCTCTGAGTGCACGCACGTAAGAGCTACTACTAGTAGCTAGTGGAGTCTGCCAAATTGTGAACAGCACAGCCCATCTGTTTTTTAAAGGATGGATAGCATTTTCACGTCCTGACAAGATGCAGAAAATGAGGAGCGGGAAGATCGGGGAGGAGGCTATTCAGCAGGGTCACATCTAGTGTCTGTTGATTAACCACAGAACAGGAATAGCTGTGCTAAGCACAGAAGTGAGAGGACTTGCAGCCTGTACACAATTGGCTGCCTTGAGGAGTAATGTAGTTGAGTCTAAAGTTGACCTTGGGAAGCCCAGAGCAAGGATCCTAAGAGTGCATTCTTCCAGTAGAAGCAGTTAAGGTTTCCCTCTTTTGACTAAAGAGTGGCCGTGTAATGAGGACTCAAAAAAAGTCGAAGATCCAGGGTCTTTTTTTTCCTACTTCAAAGAACATCTTCATGATGACCAACAGTTTTTGTTTAGTTTGATTTTGAATTTCTGGACAGATGCCCCCTCAGACTGTGTTGTTAATTGTGTCTTCCTCTTTCATTTTCCCCAACAGATAATCCAGCAGGCTGGCCAGGTTTGGTTCCCAGACTCTGCGTTTAAGACCTATCAGGCTATCAAGGACTTCAACCGTGAAGGGCTGCCTCTGATGGTCTTCGCTAACTGGAGAGGCTTCTCTGGTGGGATGAAAGGTGATTGGCCTGGCTCTGGGCTGGAGGGGCATAGCTGGTTCCCCTGAACCCTGCAGCAGGGGGAGGGAGGGTTTATACTGGGCAGAGCCTATGGATGCCCTGGCAGCCCATCACCCTAGGCTTTTTGGGGATTGTGCACCCTCTGAGATAGGTTCTGAGTGGCAACCTGAATGGGAAAATTCAATATGTTTTACAATTCCATACAAAATATCAGAACAGCCTGCTAGTGTTATCTAGGTGGACTGCTGTTATGGATTAGCTTTCACAGGTGAATGATGTTCCTGGAGAAAAAGGATCATACTTAGTCCCTCTTTTCTGGGCATACTTTTTGTTGATGTTACTCTTTAACACTGCAGTGACCAAGACAGATACTGAAATTAGCCTTTACCAGAAGAAAACAAACAGAGACTATACCAGAGGCTGTTCTTTGTGGTAATTTGTGATATGGTTTATTATTATCCAACAACAGCCCTGGGCCTGTGGCTCCAGCCTATTAGACCATTATTATAAAGGCCCTGCTCTATGCTGTGGGAATTGCTTAGTGATTAGGCAGCCAGTATCCACATTACTGAGAACCCTCTGTGTGCAGAACCACTCGAACAGTTCAGGGAACACCACAGGAAACATACTCTGCCTCTTCGAGGAGTGGAGTGCTCTCTCCAGTGGCCATGCTGAGGCCAGGACTATATACCAGGAAAGGATGAGTATGCTGAGGAATGTCAGAGTACTCAGGATTGTGAAGTGTAGTAGAATGGGTTAGGGGAATGAAAGGAGGGAGTAAATAGAATAATCAGAGAAGGGCATATGAAATGTGAGAGAATGAACTCTCATTAGGGCACCTGAAAGTACCTTGGTGCAGGAGCATCTCTAGCTCTATAGGGGGAAATGGGGGAAGTTACCCTTTTATAGATTATTATCTATGTATGGAGAGAGATTAGAGCCTTGCTCCAATAACTCTCCTTTGCCTGGCTAGGAAAAGCCCTGTATGGCCAGCCTTCCTGGCAAAATGTTGAAGACTAGCATGATTTTTTGTAATTCTAGTTGGAAAATACCCCTTTGCCCATATTTGCTGGAGAACTGCCACATTTACACTTTTCTTAGGGGAGACTTAGACTATAAATGCAAATTAATGTCTGTATACTTTTCATAGATTATCAAGGTGAAGTGTTTTTTGACCAAGATAATAAATCAGTGGAAATACCATGAGATATTGAAAGTAGAGATTAAATAAGTCAATCCTACATATTTTTATTGAGTTCCTATGTGCAAGGAACTGTGCTAGCTACTGCAGACAAAACAAAAACAAGTCAGAAACAGATCTTGCCTCAAGGAGTCAAGAAAAATGTCTTGGGCAGAATGATAAAGTCATAATGTATAAAGTATAAACAAAATACCCACAGTGTTCAAAAGAAAATGATACTATATTAAATTTGGGGAAAGGAGCCTGAAACCACTTTTATTTATATATATGAGGTTCATTTAGTGTCAGATTTCACTTAATCTCAAATTCTTTGGCTATAAGGTTTACATTAAAATTTAAGAGAGAGTACATTGCTATTACTTCTTAGTTACATTCTTCTGGGGAGTAGGGGGTGGGGCATTGCAAATTGACTCTTCCTAACATTACTTAGGAGTAAGTCAGCCTGGCTACTTTGTCTAATGGGTTCCGAGTTCAGAAGTTTGCCATGTGCCTCTTATAGGAAAAGCTTCAATTCTGCTACATGTTTTGGCCCAAGCCTAGATTGGCTGCTAGCCCTGTAACAATAAGAACAACAACAATTAAGATTCATTGAGCTCTTTTCACCCGAAACTGTGCTCACCATTTCACACGCATCATCTTACATAATCATCACAACAAGCACCTCTGAGGGGTCGGTTATATTATTATCTGCAATTTACATAAATTGAGACTTTAGGTTAAATAAATTTGCCAAGATCATTTAGCTAAAAATGACCGATTTGGGAAAGGAACACAGATCTGTCTGACTTCCTGTAGCAGTTGGCTGATTTTTAGAGCTCAGATCTACTAGAATATCCCTGGAATAGAGTATCTAGGTTCCTGAGAAAGTTATTGTTCACCTACCTCCCCTCTGTTGTGGAGTTGTCCTTGGTTATTGTGACAAGAGCTCAGAAATGAGTTATGGTTCTTTATTGCGGTGAAATATACGTAACATAATATTTCTCATATTAACAATTTGTAAGTGTACAACTCCAGCAACATTACTTTCACAATGTTGTGTTACCATCACCAATATATGCACCCAGCGTTTTCCTCATCCTCAACATAAATCTGTGCCCATTAAACAATAACTCCCCCTTTTCCCCTCCCCTCCCCTCTGGTCAGAAGTGAGTTATTGGGCTGCTATAGACCAGGGCCAGCTCTGTTTTCTGAATTTTGGTGCTGCTGCATCCAATTACGCATTACTTAAGACAGAAAAGCTTTGGGGAAGATAGAGATCAGTGTGAAAGGAGGGGGAAGGAAGAACATTGCCTTTCGTATTTACATACAGGTCAGGATGTTTTCTATGTATTATCTCATGTAACAGGACCTAAGCTGAGCGTCATTCCATATCCCTTGGGGAGATGTTTGCAGTTTTGGTTTCAATACTGGCTGGGGATTATGCAGGGAGGGAAAATAAACAATTATGCCATCCCTCAGTGCACACAAACACACAGCCAGGAGCCGACTGCACTGTGGGTAAAATGACTCCAAAATTGTGTGTAATGAGTAGGAAAAGATTAGAGACAGCTCTTGCTATGCTGAAAATTGACATTAGTGGAGGGAAAAAAAAAACTCTTTACTAGTCGGCCTAGGAGGTCTAATTCGAGCAGTAAAAATATAAATAAATAAATAAAAGCATGTCAAGATGGTATTGGTGCTTTTTTTCCAATGAGTTCTATCTGGCCGGAAGGCTATTCAGCATAATGCAAAATTAAATTATAAAAACTGGCTGAATATTTAGATGGAAGAGCCATTTGGAAGCAGTTTATTTAGACGAACCGGCAATGACCCACAACAGGGAGACATCAAGCGTGAAATTTACTAGAAATTAGCACCAGGGTCCCAGTCTCAGCATGAATAGCTTGATAGGATGCAAATCCCAGTGATATTAAGCCGCCTCACTGCTGGTGCTACAGGGTCACTCTCAGTTGGCTTTTCATGTTATACTTATTATTTTTTCCTGGGACAGGTTATAAATAACAATAAAAAAACATTTATTGAAAACTTTAACTGGAATGAAAGTCTATGTTAAAGTCTCTGATTACTTGGATGTTGAAATACAGTGTCAGCCAACCATAATGAACTCATGAGAGAACATCATGTATATGCAGCCTGTATATGCCTAATGTTTACTTTCAGCTTCTAGCAGATAATCTCTCCCCAAGTCAATATGATCTGTTCCAGTTTCGAGAGTGTGGGGCACTGTGGAAACACCCTATCACCCTGCTCCCTTGTTCGGTGCATGTGGTGGCCACGGTTTATCTGTGTTGTGTAACAGTGAAGCCTCCAGGCAGGGTTGGTGTCTGGTTGGTGAGAACACACTGGAAAAGCTGTGTGATCTCCATTCATGCAGATGTTCTGTGGTCAGAATGCTTAGAAAACTCCAAGCTCCCGCCTTTCCAATGAAGAGCCTATCAGTAGTTTCCATTCCCAGTTGCATTTCTTATGGCCTGAAAATCGACAGTCAGCATATGCATAGCTTTAAAATTCCCTAGACTGATGTCTCACCTAAACCCTTGAGAACAGCCCCTCCCCTGCTATTCTTGGCTGTGATTTTGCTCTGTCTTTTAAATATGGATTTCAGACAAGTGTGTGTCAGATTGTTGCCAAGTGCTTCAACCTGCCTTTCAAAATGTGTGGTTTGGGGCAGCTGTGATTCAGTGTGAGCCTGTTGTTTGTAGAGCCTGTTTGTTTGTATGTTTGTTTATGTTTCAGTAGCCTTTGTTGCTTTTAGGATGTTTTGATGGTTGAATTGTTGGTCTGTTGGTATTCCAGGTTAGATGGAGGTATTTTGTTTTCAGTCCCCAGCTTGTCAGCTGTAATAAACCTTGATGCCCCTTTTCTACTCAGTCTTGGGGCCTGAAGATAATTGTTTGGCAGTCAGATACAAGCTGGTAGTATCATCAGTATAATTTCTGACATTGTTGACCATTCAAAGAATCCAGCCAAAATTTAGAAATATTGAATCGCTTATCCAGGTCTCTTCTGGTTTCTGTTTTGCTCAGCCATTGTATTAGGTGCTGGAAAGCAGGTTACCTCAGCCCCGTGCCCTTTCTGTGCAGTAAGACTGGTGAGTTGAGATTGAGGTAGTAGAATATGGACTTTAGATCCCAGTAGATCTGGGTTCAAACCTTCTCTCTGCCACTTATTTAAGCCTCAGTTTACTCACCTGTAACTTGGATATAAGAACAAGATGTCCCAGGCCAGGGTGACTCAGTGGTTGGAGCATTGGCCCAAGCACCGAAGAGTCCTGGGTTCAATTCCCAGTCAGGGCACGCTCGGGAGGCAGCGGGTCGATGCATCTCTCACGGCGGTGTTTCTCTCCTCCTTCCTCCCTCCCCTCCACTCTGTCTGACAAAGCAATGGAAAAAATGTCCTCGAATGAGGATTAAAAAAAAGAACAAGATGATTTTTCTGATGACTAAATAATTTATGTGTGAATATATATGAAATGATGCTTCTTAGTAGTCAGTGAACTAGCCATGATAATGACAGAAGGGACCAAAGTGCATTTCACAAAATAAAAATGCACACACACTCAGCTTCATCCCAAACTATTTGCATATACTAAGAAACCAGCTTTTTAAAATTAACTAAGTGGAAGTACACTTTAAAGTCCCCCCTTTCTTTTGGGGACCTGGGTCTGTTCATCATAGTACAGAGACAGATTTTGATGTAGGTACGTCTTTAACAAACAAGTGAGTGAAGAGGCTGGAAACTTTCCCCTCATTTACTTCTAACTCACTTTTTTCTTTTTCATATAGGATGACTTTTTGTGTGCTATTTTTCTGTTGTTTTACTTCTTTTATCTGTGCCTTCCATTTCTTCTCTGTGCATGATACTGATGAGGGCCACTCCTTTCCATTACTTGTTCTGAGACTGTACTCTTGGCAGCACTGAAAAATGTATTGCTAATTACACAATTATTTTATTATGTAGCACTGGTAGAAATATCCACTAAAGAATTAATTTAGTTAAAATAATTTGAACTGAGCAATTATTTTCATAACCACAGAATTAGCGTAAAGCTCTTAAAGTCCTTTATTCCCTGCTCTTCATACAGCAGTTGTGTAATTAGCAGTAAATTTTTTTGGTCTTTGCTTTCCTCCCAAAGGAATAAATGTCTTTGCTCTGATCACACATACAGAGTACATGATCATACACATTCCTCATAGAGTAGGGAGTTTTTTCTGAGGCAACTTCTGGAGTTTGGGAATTTCTGAAGTCTTCACAGACCAGTCAGGTTGGGGCAGTGGAAAAGGCATGTGCCTTGCAATGAACTCTGCTCACTGAAGGTTTGTAGATAGAGTCATTTTTACTTTGGAGACAGTGGCGGTTTAATTTGCCAGTTACCACAATGAAAGCAATTTCTATTTGATTTGCTCTTCACTTCCTGAAAAATGTGCCTTTGCTTTGGATTTCCAGAATTGATTTATTCCAAATTGAGATCCTCTCCTTGATAGGAAAGTTTGAACTCCGTTGAACCTGTTATTTGGTCTTTAAAAAGGATCCATTGTGGTTCCACTGAAGTACTCATTAAACATCTGGAATCATAAACCTCAAGCTTTAGCACTATTTAGACTTCAGTGAGCTAGGAAATGGGAAGAAGTCCATAAATTATTGGGAAATAAATAACTGATCCTGCTTTCCAAGGACTCACTTTATTTATGGACCAGGGGTCTCTTTTCTTCAGGCTACTCCTGACCTTGGGGACATTACATAGTGGACTCTTTAGCAAAACGAAGAGGTGGTTCCTCTTTATGTGTCTCTGAGACATTTCCAATAAAGACATATGCATTTAAAATTTTTTCTCTCACTGAAACTCTGATAAAAAATGCAGCCTTTAAAGAATTTGTTTTTCTCTCTCACTGTGTTCTTTCCAAAGTGTGTATGTGCTCGTTCATCCAGCAGACACTTGGTGAGCACTAACTATGTCCCAGGCACTGGACAGGACGCTGGGGATACTCAGGTGAAAGATGCAGTGTTTGAAGTGTCTTTTCCATTAACTGCACATATTAAGAGCTTATCATATGCTAAGTATCATGAGAAAAACTGAAAAGAGCTTGAATAGTTCCTTCCTTCAAAAAATGTAGTGAGAGAGATCACATATTGACATGAAAAATACTCAACATTTGTAGAGCAAGTGTGAATTAATGTGGTGAGACCTGAGTACAGAAATTCAAGGAGCATGTAAAATGGATATGCCATCCATAGGGCCTACACACTGAATCTTGTGAAAGACCGTGCACTTCTCTGTGCTTTTGAAGATTCCCTGAGTCTTGAATACAGGTAGAGCTGCCAATCCCTCTAGTCTTCAGGGTGGCCAAACAGGACCTAGGGTGGCTAAACCCTCAGGCCTGTCACCTCTGGCTACCTCGTGGAGGCTCAGTGTGCCATATAAATATGATTTCCCATGTGTGCGATGATGTGAACAGTGTTTGGAAGCATTGTTTCTTGATTTCTAATCTGTCTCATTCTCCACAGATATGTACGACCAAGTGCTGAAATTTGGTGCCTACATCGTGGATGGCTTACGGGAGTGCTCTCAGCCTGTGATGATTTACATTCCTCCCCAGGCGGAGCTCCGGGGTGGCTCCTGGGTTGTGATTGACCCCACCATCAACCCCCGGCACATGGAGATATATGCTGACCGAGAAAGCAGGTAGCGCTCCTCCCTCACTGCCTCCAGGCATCCTCTAGCTCTTGGTTTCCTCCTGGAGCACATAATCACAGGAACGTTATTTGCCTGTCCTTTCCCAGATCACTCCAAGGTCAGAAAAATGGACTTTCCAAATAACTGTCAGCTGGCAGAGGAACCAGGCTAGAGTAAGTCTCTCTCAGTGAGGCACCCCCAAACTCAGAGCCTCTCTTCCTCTTTGTTGTTCAGATGTGCCTGTTCACTATCTCCCTCAAGTATGTGACAGAGGGAGCTTAAAGCGAGTCAGAGCAGAAGGACCAAATTGTTAGTCTGAAGTTCTCAGGCCTTACCCAGCTCTGCTGCTGACTAGTGAGGAACTAGGAGCAGTCCTTACTCTCCCCAGGCTGCTTCTCCTTGTCTGTAGAACATGCTGAGTGGTCTTTGAGGTCCACCATGGCACCCACATTCTGTGATTCCAAACCAGAGCTTCTCCGTCAGAGTCCAGGGCCTCACTCTGGCATTCCAGGAGGCTTGGAAAACACAGTGTTTACAGCGCCCAAAAAACTTCAAGAGAAGATTCCAGGTTTCTGTTGGAAGGTGATACCTGAAAATCCTTAAGTAAAAAGGATCCAGTCCAACTTCCTTTCATAATCTGTTTTCAACCCTTTCCAAAGTAGGTAAGCTGCACATCGTATTTCCTTGACATCATCCATGTCTATTTCTATATCCAATCATTTTATTAGAACACTTGTATCTCTCTTTTCCCCAAAATGTTAGCCTTCTACTTCAGATCTGCTTAGGAGAGTTCAGTAGCTTTATTGGCAGATCATTAGGGTTACGTTCTGTGCTTAGGAATTTATTATTTTTAAGTTCTAACCTAGCCTCTGCTTTGATACCAGATCAAAGACAATTCCTCTACAGAGTTTGGAACGAGACAGTGGTTTTAAATCCACCTCTGTCACTTGTTCGACTTGTGCAAGTCTCTTAACTTGCCGTACCTTAGTTTCCTTATCTGTAAGATGGGGATAATGGTACCTGACCTCACAGTGGATATAGACTGGGCACAGGATTGTCATGAACATTTTTATGTCAGCAATTAGAACAGTGCCTTGCACATAGTAAGCCTGAGCTCTAATTGTTTTTCATTGTAAAAGTTAAGAAAAAAGCAAGGTGTTTAGGATAAGTTCCTGGTAATAGAACATTGTTAGATGTAACCTGAGACCTTTCACTATGTCGTTTCCATAGCAGTAGGTAGAACATTTTTCTGCTGCTTGACCTGGCCTCGTGTGTCTGAGTGCTGCCAGCAGACTAGCATCTGAGTGTAGGACTGTTCCGCATCAGCCCCTCATGGTACGGCCTAAGTGCTGGAAGTTGTCCCCTGCCAGTGGAAAATAATGGGATGCCTGTTACCCTTACCAGCTGTAGGTGGTGGAATCTGTATTCTTCGCCTTTTGAGATGGAAGTAGACTGGTGTGGTAATGAGAATTATTTTAATTGCCTTTTTCCAGGCCTTTCTCATACCTCAGTGAGATACTTCTCTGGTGCCTGCTTCTCTCCCTGGGATTACTTCTGTGAACCATGGGTGGGCAAAACCATAATGAAGCTATTTCCTGGTCCACAAATTGTAACTGGCCTCATTCTGTTGTCTCCTTCCTTTAAAGTGCCTCTATTTCTGTTTTGTTATGTTTTCTTTTCTTTCCGTTTTATCCAGGGCATCAATTCTGGAGCCAGAAGGGACAGTAGAAATCAAATTCCGCAAAAAGGATCTGGTGAAAACCATGCGTCGGGTGGACCCCGTCTACATCCACTTGGCTGAGCGATTGGGTATGTCTGCTTGTGCTTCTGCAAATCAATGAGCCATTCAGCTGATTTGTAATGAGTGCATTCTAGGCCAGGGGAGGAGGCACTGAAGCATTTGATCAAATTCATGATAATCTTTATTTACTGTCCTCTATATGGTAAGAACCCTGGTAGAATGAAATAGTGTGTGTAATAGGAGGGAAAGTGGGCCCTAAAAAAGCAAAAGTCACCCAATTTTTCTTCTGATCCTTATAGTTCAAATTAGCCCATCTTTCTAGGTTTGTGGATATCCTTGTAAAGGATAATTAGCTAGAAGTTGCTATTGGGGCAGGCTTATCAGTCAGAGAATATGCTAGACTTAAATGTCGTGTTCCCACTAGTCTCTTTGGACAAACCCACCTCATTTCTGAGGGATGTGAGAGTCAGTGTCATGGGATAGGAAAGCTGGAAACCTACCAAGGCTGTGTTCTGGGGCCAATCTGGGCTAGAAAAATTAAAATAAAGATTGTGCACCATGTGCTTCCGAAGAGAGGCTGTGGCAGCAGCAGCCCTGGGCACGTTTGCGCTTCATGCTTCCAGCCAGGGCTCTGTTGCTCATTTGTTTTTGGAGCTCTTGGAAGGTGCTTGCGATTTGAACATAGGACTATACCGTGGGAGCCCTGTGTTGAGTTCAGAGTCTGAATGAGTTTCAGATTCTTTTAAAACACTGATTTTCTGCCCGGGTCCCCCGTTGAGCCTCTTGCTGTGTTAGTAAAGATAATTGCTTGAGCTTCTTTTGTTTGTTGGTTTGTTTTGTTTTCAGAGAAGTAGAGAGATTGTCTTTAAAAGGTAGTGAAATGCAGTGAATGGAAGGTGTAAAAAAGAGAGATGCTAGCTCATTTATGTTCCAAATAGCAGTTTAATTAATGAAGTACCGTTTGCAGACTCTTTATATCCTCACCGTGTAGAGACACAGAAACTTCTGAGCATTTGTTCCCACCCTAGAGCCTGCACATCCTGGTGTTCGCAGCCTTGAGCCACGTTGCTTGCCATACCCAGTGACTCGGGTTATAGTAAACCCTGTGTGTGTCCCATTGTTTGCCATCAGGCAACAACCACCAGTAACTAACCCACCACAGCCTGACCCTTTTGTGGGAAATGCACACATACAACAAGAAATTGGCAAAGTTGTCTCTAAAATCTATTGCCACCCAGAGTTGTTGAGGTGGGTATTTTTCCTCTTTCTTCTCCAAACAGGATAATTACTTCTGACCAACCCCATACACTTTAATTAAAGTAACTGCAGCTCAAGAGCAAGTTCCTCACAACTGTACACAGAGAAAGCTCTAAAAGCTTCAGCCCCCGATAAGCATCTCACTCAGATGGCGCATAATTGCTCCCAGCATCCTGCGATCGTTGCTGCTGTTTGTACCACTAATTCTCTACAAAGGCAGCAATGCCACAATTGCAGGACACAGCAAATTGCATAATTTTCTCTCTTTTTCTTTTTTTCTTTTTTGCTGGTTTTCTTTCTGGCCAATTTAAAATTTGTCAAAGTCGGTCTTCTTCTGGATCACTGCCCTTTGATATTTCGTGCACTCCATTTGCCACAAACAAGCCGCAGGGCCGCAGTTCATGCTGACTCTAGCAGAAGCAGAGAGAGCTCCATTTATCTTACACTGCCTGCTGAATTCCTGCTCATTAACTGGGGGTTCACCGCCTCTTTTTAACCCCCCAGTAGCTGTTATCATCCCTTCAGAGTAACTGGGTGGTAGGAAGAGGGATCCGCTCTGACATCTGTTTGCAGAACGGCTGGGTGGTGAGGGGTGTGGGGCTAAAGCGTCTCCCTCTTGAAGGAGAGGGATATCGCTCCCACCTTCACCCAGCACCTTTTCACTTTTGAAACATAGGACAGGAAGAGGGAGGAGATTCCCAAGTGATGGCCGTTTAATCATTTGTTACAAATCATCTCATTATCAATTTACTGTCCGCATTGAAGAAAACCATATTTACTTAACCTTGACCAAAATGGCAGTAGAGAAAGAATCCTTAGTCTGCTAAATGTGAAGCAGGCTCTGGCCCGAGGCAGCTTGGGATGTGGAATAAAAACAACTAGGTACAAGTCTTGGTTATGTTGCCTGCAGGTAAATTGTTTACCTTCTCTGAACATCAGTTTCTTCATCTAGAAAGTGGGGATAAGACCCCCATGTAGCAAATGTGAGGGTCAGATGAGTGTGCATTAGCTTTCAATCTGCGAAGCATTTTTCAAACATGGGGATGGCATCATTTCCAGTCCATCGCAATCGTTAGACGAAGCAAATGGCCGTGCTTGGTACTGGGTGTACTCTCTGTGGCTGGGGTTCACTTTGGAGTGAGTAGTAAAGGAAAGGAAGTAAAGAGACAGAAGTGGTCTTGTCTCTCAGGCGTTTGCGGTCTTTCAGGGAGACCAGATAGACCCAGGAGTATTTGTGACACAAATCAGCAGGAATGTAATGGGACATGCTGTGAACAGTTCCTTTGGGGCTCGCATTGGCTTTGGGCTAACCTTTCTCTGTGCCTGGAACCAAAGACTGCCAAATGCTTTCTCACAAAGTGGGTGAAAGGGACCTCATTTTCCAGATTGGGAGATTGAGGGGAGAAAAAAAAAAAAGAGTTAAATGAATCATCCAAGATACAAAGTAAATGTACATTGGAGCCCACAGTGACATTCTGGTTCCCTGTGTTCTGCTTTTCTCAGGATTTCCTCAGATTCTACCTCAGCTGAGTACTGAGCCTGATCAAAATTAAACAAGAAGCCTTTCCCTTTGTGATCTAAAGCCAATTCCACTGAGAAAAGGCAGATTTAGGAGAAGCCTGTAGGAGTTGGTGTTACCTGTGTTCCCAATCTCCTCTCCATTTGGCCTCTGCACTAAAGAGCACGCTGTCAGATCACCTAGACTCACATGACCACCGATTTACTGTTAAAAAACATAACTACTATTCTCAAAGGACAGTGAGTGACGTTTAATTTCTGAACAGCTAACTTCATCTCTTTCAGAACTTTTAATTTTTAAAAGTGACCTTTTGTCATTTTACACACTTAGTTTAGGTAGGAAGGTGGTGGATTCCCAGTTTGCAGTTTTGTGATTGTAACACTGAGTATGAAAACGCTACACACATTGATTCCTGATAGAGGTAAAGGGAAGAATTACCCCAGGAAGAAATATGATGTCAGCCCAAATACCAAAGTCTTTCATTGCTGGACTGGTTCTGCCCCTGTGTTCTCAGGACTGGGGCTTGGTTAGTCAGTGTGGGGAGGATTAATGTCCTACCTTTCTGGTTGCCTTAGGGAAATTAAATTCTTCCTCTGGAAATAGAGCCTGAGCCCTTCAAGGCCTCTTTGTGTCTCTCTGACTCCCTACCTCCTCACAGAAACAGAGGCAGGGAGCGTGGCGATGGAGCGGGACGGCCTTCCTAGCCTGGCCTCCTGAGTGCTGTGACCTGAGGTCCTCCCCTGGATCCTCGCCCTCCTCTTGTGTGCAGAAGGAAATGACAAATCAATTTAGACAGAGGGAGAACTGTCCCGCTCAAGTGTGAAGCAGTTGTAAGTTCTCCACTCTCCCTCTCCCTCAGTACAAGGAGCACCAGGCAGAGGAGCTGCTCAGTGGAACTTTATTCTGCTCCAGGCACACATCCCCAGGGTGGCCCTGTTCCCAGGCAGCGGGGCAGCCTGCCATGCAGCACCTTGGCTGCGCCCCCACGGAGCGTGCCCTGGGAGTGCTGGCCTGACAACAGGCAGAGGCAGCACTGGCAGAGCTCTGCTGCTGGTCCTTGCCTGGCCTCCCAGCACCTAACACCCCTGGTCCAAGGCACCCAGGTGCAGATGGAATGTGGTGGCTGTGGGAGTGGATAGATTGTCTGTAAAAATCTTCAGGACTGCCCTCCTCCCAAGCCTTCTCTTTGGCAGCCAGGATGACAGGAAGAAAAGGAAATAACCCCTTCCTGGGGTTAAGGGGACGTAGGGACTGAGCTGTTTTTCTAGCAGAGGTGATCTGTGTACCTGAGCTGAGTGTGTTTCCATCTCTTGTGTCCATCTTCAATATGTTGTAAGCTGAAAAAGCCAAAGTTGCTTGTTTGAGGCAGAAAGCAGCATCCTTACTGGAAAGATGAGACTAGGACAGAATGCAGTTCCAATATGTGTGCCTAGGAAGTAGCCTCTGGCCCTGTCTATCACCTGTTGTACATGGAGCTTCCTCACTAAGACGGTGGCCACCCAACCAGTCTGTGGTAGGCAGGCCGATAAGAAAGAACCTAAGGTTTGCTTTCATGAAGGGAGAAATTATGGAATTGAGCCTCCTCCCTTAAATGAGCAGCAGCTTAAAACCTGCCTCATCCCACTGATTCAGAAGCTCTTTGGTCTGATGAAGTTTAGTGCAATAGTGACAGTGTTTTCTAGGAGGAGAAGGGAAGGGTTCATTTTGGCCTGATCCGTTAATCTGAGTATATTTATAAAAGCAGCCCAACTTGCCTCTTCCCAGGAAGCAGTTTCACAATTCGATCCAGCCAGAGGGACCTGGCAGGCATTTCTTAGACTGACCTAAGTCCTGCCTGCCTGGAGGCTGTCACCAGGACCTGTCTGAGACACCGTGTTCCCCACTTGGCCCCAGCTGACCCAGATCCCTGTTCCTACGCCTGCCCAGCTCAGGGAGAGCAACCTGGGGAAAGGAGAGTAAAGACTTCACAGTTTGCCACTAGAATTCAGAGAATTCTGTGCCATTTCCTGATTCTTTTGTGGGGGATGTTTGCATGGGGGTATAGGGTGCAGGGCTGCAGGGGAAGTAATATAATTTTTATTCCTATTTGGAAATCTCTGGGTTTACTATTATGACTTTTTAAAAATATGAGCAACAGAGCACTAACACCATTGCAAGGAACTTTAGGGTTAAACATCCCTTGAGAGGATTGCTGTTAAAATCAATATGCAAATGAAGTTGTCTTTAGATAGGTATGGCCCCCTTTGAAGAAAAGCAGATATATGAAAATGGGATTTTTTAAAAAACTAGATA